TCTTCAGATGTCCCTATCTCACTTTTCTCCTTCAGAGAAGCAGGCTGTCCTACCTTTTGCCCTCACAACCCTTTGAGGGAGACTAAGCTGATGGGGGAATGACTGGCCCAAGGTGACCCAGGGAGCTTCATGGTTGAGAGTCACGGCTGAAGGTCCAGGCAGTGTTTAAAACTAAGTTCTAAGGCTCAGGCCAAGAGGCCCCCGAATCTGATCAGAAGTCACGGCACGAGGGGGTTTAATGCCTTCCCTCCCCCGTGCCATTTCCTCAACCTGAAATGATCTCAGGGAGCCACTACATGCCCTATTGGGATAAACTTCTCTCTGTGTGTCAGCCCTCTTTCCTGCAATATACTGTCTAAATTGGGCCCCTGCATATTGGAGAACTGGGGTTTCCAGCACTCATCTGGTTTGGCCCCAAGTATGGATCTGAACTTGCCCCTCCCAAGTCCCCGTCCAGTACCCTAAAAACCACTCTACAACACTGGCCTGTCAGCATTAATCATGCAGTAGGGAAAATCCAGGGCCCCACAGATTCCCCCATCAACAGGATGAAGAAGAGACGCTATGGGCTTTATTGGCTGCCTGTGTTTCTGCAGGTGGCAGCTGTACCCCTGCGGGTGGCATTGCCCGTATGCCTGTGGGATTTACAGTTTCTTGAAAGAGGACTTGAGTATTATACAAGAGGTGACTGGAAAGCGAGAGAGAGATTTATAAAAGCAGATTAAATCAGGCAACTTTTCTGTTCAAAGGAAAATAGTCCCATTGCTTTAACAGGAGCGTGACACTCAACAGATCTGGCAGGTGATGTGTGTCTTACACCAGGTAAAGGCTCACTGCTTCATACCTGCATGTCAGTGGGCTGCTGTTAATGTTTTAAAGACGTGACCCCCACAGGAGCCGGTGTGGGGATTACTCACTGTCACAAGGCTGCTGTTTTGGGTTGTTGTTGATACCGCTGCATGAGAGCCCTTCTGCCCATATTAAACCCCCCCACAGATATGTGGCCTTCAACCCCTTTTACAATTTAATTTGTACAGATGTAATGTACATTCCTTCTTTAAATCAAAAAAGGCAGCATCAGTTGCTCCTTCTGCTGTTTTCTGATGCCTGCCAGAGTTTTCAAAAGGTAGTTCACAGCAATGGAAGGGGCAGAAAAACCTTGAAACAGAAGGGAATTGGCTCCTAAAACCTAGTGATGCCAGAGAATCTTATTCTAAGTAATTTACTTTTCATGCTGAAATAGAAACGACTGTATTTTTTAAACTGGCTTGGAATCTGAATATGTGCGCTACATCCTTGCTCAGCATCTGGGTTAACTGAAATAGAAACAACTGTATTTTTTAAAACTGGCTTGGAATCTGAATATGTGTGCTACATCCTTGCTCAGCATCTGGGTTAACAGAAGTCTTGGTCCCTGTACAGTTCAGGAAAATTGTGCAATTTACCTGTTTCACACTGTCCATTTTGCTTCGGTGAGTAATGTGAAAACACAAAGAGAAACTACAGGGCACCACTTGAACCCACCTCACGCACTGACCTCTGGAAACTCCACACAGTGCCCTACCCATCCCCCCCATTCTTCTGAAGTTTCATGAAGCAGAGCTGATGATCTGTCTTTGCAGTCTTTCAGGGCTGGAAAACTGCGTAAAAGATTAAAGGAAATCCTCGACCCCGGGGCCACAGGGCTGAAAGGCCGGGGGGGGGGGGGGATCTCAAGTCCCATTTTGTCCTAGATAAAAATACTTGGCTTTTTACTGTAAGAATGGATAGGAGCCTTGAAGTAACAGTAGTTGTTGATCACTTTTGGGTACTATGTCCAAGTCAAACACTGGAAACGAGTCATGTTATAGGCAACCTACCGTCCCTTGCAAACGTAACTAACTGCACTTTCTCCCCTCCCCAGTCTGCACATCCAACACTCTTGTAAGTTTACTTGGTGCACCTTGTGCTGGCCCAGTAGGCAAGTCACCCAGTCCACAAAGCTGTGGAAAGCTAGAAATCACTGTCAAGGTGAATTCTTCCTTGTCACCATTATTAAATGCTTGCTGTCCCAGGAGAAAGCAACATGTGGTAACATTTCAAAACACTGCAACAGCACAGGATTGGAATCGCCGCGAGAAACGCATGGCTGTGGGACTCGCTGACATTCCCCCTAGCCCCATTTAGCCGTTTGCTACGGAAACAAGCCTCTTCATTCGTTGCCCTGTAATGAGTTACATGCATACGTATGTCCCCTCCAGCCACACAGCTGACTTATGGGAACCCCAGCAAGGGGCTTCCAAGGCAAGTGAGAAGCAGAGGTGGCTTGCCTTGCCATTGCCTGCCTCTGCAGAGCCATCCTCGGGGGTCTCCCATCCAAGTGCAGACCCCGCTTAGCTGCCACGATCTGGCTATACCAGGCTGCCTCCCTATCCTGGGAGGCTCAAACCACTTGGTGAGCATTTCTCTGATAAAATTTGACATGCCCCTTGTGATAGACCCATGCGGTCTGCCACTTTGCCCAGTGCCACCTTCAACGTGTTTGAAAAGGAGATTCTATAACATTCTTGAAATGTTAGGGTGGGTGTTTCTCTCTCCTTTGTTATACATTTTTTTGGTTCAAATAAGTTAAAAAAAAATGTGCTGAAACCCGAATGCCCAGTGCAGGACTGTTGGAGAAGCTGTAGAAACCACAATTGCATGGGTCATCTTAAAGGGAAAGTTGTGATGAACCAGAGATGTTCCGATTACTGTGCATTAGTCTGATAAGTAAATGCTAAACAACAAAAACAAAAGAGTGTGTTGCACTGCATTTTATTTTTTTTAAAAAACCTGGTTTGCCCAAGTCAAGATGGGCTATCACCTTGGCCCCCAATATTCCCTTCGGCTCCTAATAGAAATACTGAAAACCTAAAAGGTCTGCCTTGACTCCTGTAAGACCCTAAAAATTACTACTTCATAGTGCATTTGCTGTTCTTTTAGCGAGCACAATTTGTATCAACGGTAAGGTTCCCACATTGCATGGAAACTACTTGATTATTGGCAATGGAATGTGTGGAACCTACTGTGAAAAGTAGATTGCTTGAGGGGACATCAAGGTAATAATGGCAGTGTGAGGTCACACAGGCAAGCCATCAAGTGATGGATGCATGAGAGGGGACCAGACAAAACATAAAAAGTACTAAATAGCCTCTGCTCTGGAGATGATGCCATCTCTGGAAAGCCAGCTTCTTGACTCTTAGAAGGGAATACAGACCAGTTTTTTTTAATGGAACTAGTACATTTTTCTGACTAGGCAGCTATCACTACAATGGTTCTCTCTTACATTGGATGAGAGCTTGTTCCAGTGAGTCTAATAAAGGGGGCTTTATTACATGATGAACAAATGTTGAGTGCAAGACTGAAAGCCTTCCCCCCCCCCTCGTTTGACAGAGAGGGGGGGAAAGAGCCAAGAGTGACATTTCCCTAGTTGGTGCTGCAGTTTTCAGTCAGTTTGGTGTAGTGGTTAAGTGTGCGGACTCTAATCTGGGAGAACCGGGTTTGATTCCCCACTCCTCCACTTGCACCTGCTAATGTGACCTTGGGTCAGTCACAAGCTCTGGCACAGCTGTCCTTGAAAAAGAGCAGTTTGTGTCAGAGCTCTCTCAGCCCCACCCACCTCACAGGGTGTCTGTTGTGGGGAGGGGAAGGGAAAGGAAAGGAGTTTGTAAGCCGCTCTGAGACTCCAAGTGAAGGGCGGGGTATAAATCCAATCTCTTCTTCTTCTTCTGATCTGATAAAGCTAGAAGGATTATGGTCCTCTGAACTTGCCTGCTTGAGACCAGTTCATATCCCCCCCCCAATAAGGATAAATATGATCTGACCAGCAGCCAGACTCTTCTCACTAAGCTGTGACTGAGCACTTTTCTTTACTGATAACAAGCAATTCCTGTGACATTCTTTGGTTGTCAGTTAGAGGAAAGGCACTAAATATGTGTATGCCTGTGTGGATCCCAAGGAAATGTTTCATGTAAATAATGATCTTTTTTTATCCTAATAAAATTCACTTTTAACACAACTGCCCTCTGTTCCTTTTGCCAATTATTCTGAGCCTACTCTTTTTTTTTTAACCTTTAGAGGACAGTGATGCAATTTGTTATCCTAGAATGCGATGCATCGTTCTTCAAAGTGATCTTAAAGGTAGATTCACCAGGAAGTGCTTCTTAAATTATAAAAATAATGACAAGAACGTCTGTAGTCCTCAAGAACCTTCCTGGAAGGTATGCTGCAATATTGCAGTTATAATTTCCTTTAGGGTGGGGGCATGGGTTCTAGTCTCCCACTGCCTGTGTCTGGCTGAAACCATTATCTTTTGTGGAAGAAGTCAACAGTAGTGTAACGATTCCTTGTTTCTGTGTGTGTGTGTCTCTGTAAAAGTTTGGTTGCATGGCTGTGGTAGATAGACTAGAGTGGTTGAGAGAGGCAAGTGTGGAATGACAGAGGGGGAGGGGTTTTGGAAGCGTGAAGCGAATCTGGGTGGAGGTTTTGTGCGTCAGTCAGGAGTTGCAGTTACAAGTTGACAGTTGAGTTAGACAAGCAGTTCTGTGTTGAAGCTGAGGTAGTTCAGTGAGAAACAGAAGGAAAGCTGAGTGTATAGGAAAAAGTAAATGAAAGTTTAATTGAAGACAAGGTATAGGAAAGGCTGTATGTCCTGATAAACTGGAGAGAAACAGTGAACATATATGACCTTGAGTTAAACAAGTGTTACAAAGTTACCTGAAAGATCCCTGTCAGTGAGGGATAAGACTGTGTGATACCAAAGAAATTGTTCATCATTTATACATTACTAGTTACATTGTACAACCCTCTTATTTAGTAGTTATTTCAATAAATCCTCTTTCATCCAAGTTTATACCAGCTCTGAATGAAATACTTCCCAGGACCACATAGATCCCTGTAAGCCTTGAACTCGGTCTACCAAATTAAAAAGAGCAACAGTAAAAGCATAAAGGTTTGGAAATCCTTAAAATTTCCTGGTGGCAGCAGATTCTACTCAGTAAAGCGAAATAAAGAAAACTTTTAAAGGGAAACTAGTCCTCCCTAATAAGGAGGACGTCACAGGTAGTATACAGCCTTTGTGTGTGGGCAAAGTCCTAACTTTGTTTCAACTTTCATTAAAACCACCTTGGATGGCAGGGTTACAAGAGACCTCTGCCTGCAGAGCCAGACATAGAAGGCGAGAACATGCTAGAGGCAGACAACCTGTCTATCAGTATAACAGGGCTTTGAATTTCACTTTGTCTAGACAGAAATATGCATCACTGCAGCATAACCCTAGGAACGTGTGCAGATTTCAGAAGGGTGTATGGATGTCAAGTATCCAAACAAAGGAAACGCACTATGGAACACCAAACAAGTCCAAATAGCACTTTCATTGGAAAAACATTCTTCACTTACACAGTACTGGACAGTCAGGTTTCAGAAAATGTTCATGCATCTGCCTTGTATTCTGCCGCAGTCATCTCTGATCCCTTTATCTTCAGCCATTTTTAAGACAACCTAGGAGCCTGACAGCTGGTTACACACAACCAGACTTCAACCGCTTTCACTGTTTCAGAAAGAGCATATAAACTTTTCAGCTGCTGCTTTAGCATTGTTTTGAGTACTTTCAGCTTAAGAAAAAAATCACTTGCAATAACAAGTGACTTCTGCTCTGGCTACGATGCACCTTGAAGCATTTGCTCTTTTTTCCTGGAGTCACAGAAGAACCGGAGTTTCCTGGGTAACAGCCTGACTTCCACGGGCATGGCTTCATACTCCTCATTGTCTATAGCCAAGGAGCCTCCTGTATCCTGGAAAGAGAAGGCAGAGAGTTGCTGCTACCAGTTACAAACAGGAAAACTAACCCAGATATGCTGCCTGAGGACAGGTTTGAGCAGCTCCCCCCCACCCCCGGTATATACCAGGACAAACCAAGAAATATGGTCACACACCTCATGCTCGGTAATGTCTCTGCTCAGTCTCCTTCAAGGTGCTCTCTTATTAAATACCTCATTCCTCATGCATAGACCCCTTTTTCTCCTCCTCAGTGGTACCATGGCCTAGCCTCTCCCCTGTATGCAAGAAGCTGAAGGAATGCCCTTCAAAGCCATGGACTATTGTGGCTATGAAAAACTTTGTTTATAACTCGGAGGGGGGGGGGGGATCACATCTCAAAAGCATATAGTTGTTATGGTTTCATCCTTCATTTTGCTGCTCTTTCTGCATATATAACAGAAACAGATGAGCAGCGTGAACAGGCATTCTGGCCAAGGAGCCACAGACGGCTCTCTGTTCCCTTCACGCTTTACGTGTTTAAGAAGAGCCTTTCTAGTTTAGACCAGTGATCCACTAAGTCACCCGAAGAGCCTTGCGCTCACAAGAGCAGAAGGTACTGGTAGTCTCCAGCCCTAAAGACGTCCAGCTGTCCTCAAGCAGAGCCAGGGCCTTTTCTGCCCTGGCTCCTGCCTGGTGGAACTCTCGGCCTGGAGACATCCGTGCCCTGCGGGACCTAGCTCAGTTCCACAGGGCATGTAAGACAGAGATGTTCCACCGGGCCTACGGCTGAAGACAGCAATGGTTTCCCCATCGTATCCGGCCCATGACCCTGTCCCCATGGAGAAAGAGGACCATATTTCTGAACACCATTGAAGATAAGCTTTTAATGCAGGAGTGTCAAACATGCGGCCCAGGGGCTGGGTCAGGCCCTTGAAGGGCTGCAATCCAGCCTGCAAGGTCCTGGTTGTTTCCTGCTTCCTTTTTCAGTTCTGCTGCTGCTGCTATATCACAGCTTACTTTACCAGACTCTCTCAATTGCACAGGAGAGATAGATAGGCAAGCCTCTCCTGTGTGATTGAGAGAGTCTGGTAAAGCACTGGCTGAGGCCCCTCCCCCTCCCAGGGGATGGGAAGGAACCAGCCAGAGCTCGCTTCCTGGCCAGGCTGCCTCAATCGTATACAGGAGACAAAGGGAAGCCTTTCTTTCCTTCCACTGGCTGAAGCTCCTCCTTGAAAGGAGGCAGGGAATGAGGGAGAGCTTGCTTTGCAGCTTACAGATACACACCTGAACAGCATACTCAAGATTGCTACAGCACAGACATTTTGATGCAATTATTCAGAGCAAGAGGTGTCAGTTATCAGACACTGTCTTCTAATGAATAGACAAAATATTGCAAGTATTTTAAGCGTGTTTTATGTAAAGTTTTAAAAATCTTTAATTGTGTTTGTCTGTGTCCTTGAAAAAAATTCTCTCTCCACTACCTGGCATTACATTTTATGACACGTATGGTCCAGCCCAACAAGGTCTCATTTATGTCAGATCCGGCCCTCATAACAAATGAGTTTGACATTTATTTAGTTGATTTTTTGACTAACTATATACATTGTTCTATATACATTGTATACCACCCTGAGCCCTTCAGGGGGAGGGCGGTTTAGAAATATGATGATGATGTCCAGCATCATCTTTCCTGCAACGACCAACCAGATATTCAGGGGAAGCTCAAAAAGCAGGGCAAAGTAGCAACAGCCTCCGCCTGCTGCCAGCAGCCTGTATTACTAGTGTACTGCCTCTGCCCATAGAAGTTCTATCTCCATGAATGTGTCCAATTCACTGAGCACAGAAAAATCAGTGTATCCAGCCTGCCACGCAAACCATGAATTGTATCTTTGCAGTAAAAATGCCCCCTCCCCCCCATTTAAAAGTATGCTATAAGAAGGATTAAATAAACATTAAATATCTAGGGAA